TGGTCTTAAAATAAGTGAGGAGAATTTGCTACCTTTCTATAATATCAAGAAATGGATAGATATTCTATTACTTTCGGATAAGGACGAATAAACCATAGGCCCCGTCTCCTGCAGGGTTAGGGGTAGAAGACGTTAATTTCCCACGCACGAGATTACTGTGTGATGGATGTCCTCCCCTAGGGTGAGATAGGAGGGAAGGTGAGATCGTTACATGGACTGAAGCGGCTGCCAGAGGCGCCTGATAATGCTGACGTCCGATCTCAACCTTATCATTGTAACTAGACACGTTTGTTGTTTAGAGTGCTTAAGACTTTCTTTCCTTCTTCTTTCTTATGTTGTAATGCTACCTTCTCAACTTGATCTCATTATCACAGCATTTTAAATATTTAAATCTATTAGATGGGATGGGGTCAATTCTTATTCCACTCTCCATTAAACTAAGCCTATCTGTAGGAACTATTCTCATACAAAATGCTTCGAAGAAGACCGGCCAAGAAATTACTCCGAAACGTCGATATAGTTACACGAAGTGGAAACCACACGTAGATTCTGACTTAGGCGCGAACAGTATGCAATACGTCAGGGAGGGGGAGGGGACATATTTCAAGCAGTCTAGGAAACATGTAAGTATTAGATAACAATATTATCACTCTTAACACTTTTGTTTACTGATCTAAAGCACGCGCAGGGAAATCACAGGCTCCTCACACAAGCGAATTCCATCGCTCCAGATCATGAGCCAGTTTACTTTCTTATGGCTTAGAGCACGCGCGGAAAAAGCTGGCTAACTGGCGTAAGCTGTCCCATAGAGCCCTCGACAAAGCAAGGAAAATTCGTTCACAGATTCTTTAACTCGCCTTCTATGAGCTCTTTCCCTGTTGAAAAAATAAATGGCACTGTCAGTAACCAACCGGTAGGGAGTCCACAAAGTAAGTTTTCTTGGCTGACACGGCTCATTAGACGCACCAGACTAATAGCGGTAATATGCTAATGAACAGGTCCCGATTGGTTAAAACCTAATAAGTATGGAGCGTGACGCGAGTTCTCGCGCCAATCAAAGGACGTCGTGAGGCAATCAAGAGCGATTCAGAATTTGTCTTGACTCTCAATCGAAAACCGCGAAAACCGTTCACACCGCTCAGAATAGGCATTCTTACCTTAAAACAGCACTGGAGAATTGTTGTTTTTGAGACACTGTGACCAGATTGGATGGAAATCCCTCAACCTCCATCACGCCCTATCGACAACAAAACCATTGCCAGATTACAGAGAGTATTTTGTAAACAACGAGCCCTTCTTGTTGGTCGTGTAAGGCAGAAAAGGTTCCCCTGGAAAACCTGGTCGCTTTGTGTACGCTGAAAAACCGCATCTCATTTGAATATTTTCTGCAGTATTAAATCAGCTTTTAACTAAAAGATTTCCTATCCTATCTCAACAAATGTTTAAGTTGTGTCTGTTTAAAGCAGTCGTGTCTGTTTAAAGCAAACAAGATTAAAGTATTAATATGTCAATAACCAGTATTATTATTGATCATCAGATTTGTAAATAAGCCTTTTGTAAATAACCTTTCCAAATTTGTAAATTTAATCGGAAGACCCATATAGTGGAGATTTAATAAAGATACTGTAAAGATACTGTACTGTAGACGCGAAAAAAAAAAAAAAAAAAAAAAAAAAAAACCGAGACACTTTAAGTACACCAATTGAAGAAGGCATAGAGCAGCTTCCTAGTAATTTGTATACACAACCTGCATCCAACGCGACAGCAATGTCACGTTGTGTCTGTTTAAAGCAAACAAGACTTCCGCCATGTAATCTGTACATTGACGAGGAACTCCGCCAGCTATTCCCTAGAAGAGAGCAAATGGTGTAAATGATGAAGTTGATGAGTGATCCTAAAGTCGTGACGAAGCTCTTTAAAGTAAACAGAGAGAAGTTCCGAAAAAGTTACAAGGCAAGGACGATTTGATCACGTTTACCTTTCATCAATTGTCGGACGTCTCCCACGAGATTCCATTTTCAACAGGATTTTTTCAAAATCTTTAATAACTGCACGCTATTCACTTTGCACTCAAACTTTTCACTCCTAACATTAACATTAATGCCCAAGATATTGTGTCAGAAAAGAATCCTGTATGGACATAAAACTTGGACTCACCTTGATAACTTGACTGACCAGATATGATCCGTACTCTTGTAGCGTACGCTGCGCAGTTTCTTCATTTTCACAAGCCGTAATGAACGTAGACTAAAGCAAAAAATGTACAATACTTTCTTAGTTATGGTGGCTTCCCCATCATTCAAGTGCATTTGGTAAGATTTCCGCACAGCCCCTTGCTATTCTAAAACAAATCCGAAGTCCCAAAAGCAATCTCTTGTTTTCGCTATAGCTCTCTTTGTCCAAGAACTTTCATTTCACAAAATTGAAAAAAGGCCTTCATTCTTTTCAAATCTCAAAACATTTTACATCTATGGCCAAGGAGTAATAAATCTTCCCCCTCACAATATTCACACGATTTAGACAACTAGGTGTTTAGGCGTTGAGCTTGACAGTGATCTTAATTGGAACGCCCACGTAAAAGAGTTAATGAAGTCCTTCACACAAAAACTGAATCTTCTCGGGTTCCTTGTATTTTTTTTTACCCACCACGGCGAGAGCTGATTTTCATTTCAAAGTAATTTTACCATCAGTCACCTATAGTTTGGTTGTATGGGATTCCTGTGGCAAATCGCTCTTTGATGA